TGCTGTGTCTGTTTTACAGTTTAGTCAAAGTGGTGGAGGTCTGTGTGTATAAATGTGTGTGTTTGTTGGGTGGGCGGTATATGTCCTTCCAGGCCTGGAAACGGAGCTGCCTAGCTTCTAAATAGATTAATTATCTACACCGCTAATTTTTAAATTTAATAATCATTGCCCCCCTCCTCTCCACAGCGCTTGGCCTTCCTCACCTCCTGTCTTTTGGCATTCCGTCGTCTTTGATGGCTTATTTGCTGATTTGTTTATATATTTATTAATTCATTTACCCCCTCCCCAATCCAATTTTATCTGACATTTCTTGTCGAGATGCGAAGGATGACCTTTGAAAACAGAACACTTCCTGCCAGAGATGTGAAGGAGGTCTCACTCTCTGCTCAGGAAACACTCCTCCAGTCCTCTCCTCTCCTCTTACGTGCACTCAGTGACAAAAGGTGTAAAATACATTTACATTTGCCACTTAATTTTAAGTCTTTTGTGTACTAACACTTTTATGACTGTGATCTTTTAAGTAGATGGTTCACTTAAACAAGAAACACATTTCAGAGTCTCCACAAGCATTTCATAAAAATGGCAACATCTGATTTAAAAAAACATGCAAAGGGTGAAGGGAACAGAACAAAGTTGAAAAGGTACTGTAGTAGTCTGGCATTGATGGAGATCATTTGATGTCTTGCAGAGACTCAGATGAAAAGATTGAAGCCACTCTCCTATTGTCCAGTGAATCTAAGGCTACAGCCAGCAGCTGGTTAGCCTAACTTAGCTTAAAACTTCAAATTTGGGAAACAGAAAGCACAGCCCTGTCCAAAGGTAACAAAATCTGTCGACCAGTTCCTGTGAGGCTCACTAAATTACAATTTATATTTTGTTTGTTTAATATGTACAAAAACCAGAGTGTAAAAATGGCTGTCATGCTCCGTGGCATGACACAGATGACACCCTTTGGTGTCCCTACAAGATGCACTGGATTTTCATCACAGAGACTGTTGTTCTGTCCTCTGTGAAACCAAAACTCAGTGCTGTTTTAATGTAACTTTACATCATTCAACACTGTTTTAGCATAGCTTATGTTCATGTGTCACATACTACGTTACTCGCCTGACATATTTACGTCACATTACGTACTTAATTTTACCCAAAACATGATGTTTTTCTTAAACCTCACCAAGTAGATTCATGGCTTAACCTAGCTGCGAGTTTTTGACAATGTTAACCATGTGTAACAACATGTTTGACCCAGGACACATCTGCACGGCACATTAAGACACTAAAGGGTGCCCTTTGGCACTGGTATTGCATGCCGAGGGGTGTGAGAAAGCTTGCTTTTCATGACCTGGATGAGAATGTGTTGAAATGACAAGTTGTGGTTTTATGCTTATGCTAAACTAAGCTAACTTGCAGTTCACGGTAGCTTACCATTAAAGTTATATCTTCATCTAACTCTGACATTTTGGGAAATAAGCCTATTGTTTTTAATGTATTTTTGAGACTTAACATGAAATCACCATTATTTTTTGTATGCTTTGCTGTGTCTAGCAGCTCTAGCTAACGTTAGCTGGATAGAAAATAGAAAACAGGTCCATGAGAACAATGGTAACAGTGTCTATGTTACCTATGTTTATAATGCCTTATAAACGTACTCACAATTTTACTTACGTACTCCATCTGCTTATAGCATTGTATAAACATAAGCACTCATAAATATTCATTATGTTTTATAACAATAATCATAACACATAATGAAGCATTTCATAATTAGCCTCGACTACTTATAAAGTCAAGTATTATAAGACTTCATAATTGCTGATCAGTCATTGGCTTTTTCTTTGCAAGGATTAGGGTGTATTGCACCATTCTCATAGTTATACATTATAATCCATCAGCTCCATTAGTGTTGTTCAGAGCACCATCCCCAGGACGTCTGCAATTGCTGAGCCAAAAATGACAGCTCCGAAAATGTTCATGGCCTTACCTCCCTGGAATGAGAGGGCGGAGAAACTATCCACTTTTGTCGACAGATGTCTCTCAGCGATGACCATCGACATAAAAGAAAAGATCAAAAAGATGAACTCTTATGATGAGCTGCTACCCTTCGCCACTTCACAGTGAATGTTCTCTCTCTCTCTCTTTCTGTCTCTCAAAGTTGAGATGTACGTTTTTTTAATAATTCACCTTTTTGTGATCAAACATTCACACTGAAGTAAAATGTACAGCTACAGTTAAAGGAGAACTTGATTCAGATATTATCTATAATTTAATTCAATTTAGTGTGATGAGTGAGCCACTTTAGTCAAATGTAAATGTCCATCATTTAGTTGTCCATCATCAAAAAGTTGTGTCACTTTACAGGACTCAATTTCCGTAATGATCTGTTAAACACATGAATTAACTGGACACCATTTTATGTGTTGCTCAAACAATGACCACTTATAGTGACTTTTGACAGCTTGTAATGTAGGAATGCATGAAACTTGACCTTACACGTCATTATAAAATACGATGATTACTGTTATAAATTGTTATGAATATTTATGAGTACTTATAACTATAATCATACAGTGCTACAAAATAGATTATAGTGCATTATAGACATAGATGTCATAGAAAGTATTAACAGTAAATGACTGAACGAACAAGAGGAAGACTAATGAATATGAAATGCTACACATTTTGGTTGAAGAATGTGAAAAACATGTCAGAATAAGTAAATGCATTTAAATGAACCAACATCAATTTGGACAGTGAAAGATTTTTTTTTTCCAGCAACAAAATAAATACTGCTTTAGCTTCATGGTTCTTGCTATTGCAGGCTAGCATTGCTAATGTGCTGTTTGTGCTCCTGCTGTTGGTCCACTGTCCAGAGACCTTCAGGGCCCCCTGAGGTGTTTCCAGGAGTCCTTAAGGTGACTCCAGGGACCTGCAAAGTTTCCAGGGGTCTCTTGCAAAATGGGAAAGGGTTAAATTCTTTTTCATTTGCTCACTAGAAATGATCCAATTTGAAGACTTCTTTATGAAACTGAGTGTTTTATAATAAGATACATCAGCAACAGAAGCTTCAGATGAGGGTCTGTGGTCTGATGTGTGTCTCTTTGAAGGTTTGTGTGTGTCTGCTCGGAGGTCTGGGGTCTAATGTATGTATATTTGGAGATCTATTTCAGAGTCTGTCGTTTGACGTGTGTCTATTTGGAGATCTGTGGTCTAAATGTGCATCTATTTTGGGGTATGTGATTTGAGCGGCCCTGCTCTACATCACCTAATGAGCTGCTGTTTGCCTGCCCACCTTTTCTCTCTCTCCCCCTCTGTAATGTATTCTTTCAGTGTATAATACAGTCCCCGTGGGACCACAGGTTTTCGTTGGGAGGTGAAATTTCATGCAGCAGCTTCACATATTCTCACATGCACCCCGTGTTTTTAGAGCAGCCGTGCATTTGCACAGGCAAACATTTCAAGGTGACAATATTTAACCAGTGTGTGAATGACTTTGTGCAAACGTACCTCTGTGGGCTTCACCTGTGTGTGTGTCTGCCTTTACGTGTGTGTGTGTCTGCGGGCGTGTGTGTGTGTAATTGCATGTGTGGTATCACAGGAAATAAGAGAGACCTGCAACATCCTTAGCTCCCTGTTGCCATGGCGACACTTCTGGTTACAGGAGTATCTAATAGGTCTCCCATACAAATTAACCTGCCATAGAGTGTGTGTGTGTGTGTGCATCGTGCACTGAAATGGAAATTCTTAAAATGCTATAAATATTTACTGCTGCTTGCTCATGTACTGCTATATATTGATTCAGACTGGTATTTTTATTATTTTTCAAATTAATTTCATATTGTTTATAAGATTTATTTGAAAATTGTTTTGTTTTTGTCTTATGCATTAGTTTTACCTCTACTACAGCCTTAAAACCATTTTTGTACACATAATATGTTATAGTGTGAAACTCTGAGTCACCTATAATGTTTTAACTGCTATATTCTGACATGTATTGTGATTGTCATGGCTACATTTTATTGGTGTTTGAAATGCCTTAGTGTCTCCTATCGCTATATGCTATATATGTGTCACTTCAGTTAGTGGCTGAATAGATGACTACGCTCTGCACTATAGACTCTGTGAGCTGTGATGTCAGGTGTCGTGTTCAAAGTCGCAATAATGTGCAGAGCATGTGAGTCATCAGGCGAGTGTTGAGGCAAAACCATGGCCACGCACATCAAAGAAAACAAATGAACAGATAGTAACATCACTCTGTTGTTTTCCCTCTCCTGATGTAATCCATGAACTGATAATGGGATGTGATAGTGTACTTTATCACTAACTGCTGCGTCAAAGCTCTTATGGAGATACTGTATGTCTTGATAACTGTACAAACAGATGTCTGATGTTCATATTTAAACAAATTCAAGGTTCTGGTCAAATCACTTGTAGGTCTCTGGCTATTTGCTATTGAATTTAATGGCTTCCTGAGCCAGAGGGGTTTCTTAAGTCAATTGAATTATTTGACTTGAAAGCGGTCAACTTTCTTTTATTGAGTTGGCTGAGCCCTGAAGCTCCTCACAGCCAGGCCTGTTTCCCTTTCTTTGTCAATAGTACTTTGCCTTATTTTCAGCCATTAATGCAGGCCTGTATATCCAGCTCCCTCTTTGCTTATTTTACTTACTTTATTCTATTCAAGTAAAGCTGAATCTATTTTATTTTACTGGACTTTAGTCTATTTTACTTACAGCTACACACCAGAGTACTGTAGATATAAGTACACATTGATGTTTCCCAGAGAGAGTAAAAAATTCATTTCGCTTCAAAAGCTAGAGAGGAAATGGCAAAATGACCCACAGAAAGATTTGCTAATTGGGTTTCTGAATCCAAAGGACATCAAAACTGAAAAAGAGAGCAAACGGTACAAAACAGAACAGAATTAACATCAAGCAAGAGACATAAAATAATTCATATAAAATAAATCTATTTAACTTTCGCTTTGTTTCTTCTTTCTTCCACAGAAACTTGTCAAAGAATCCTCTCACCACTCTGTCATGGCAGCTCTTCCAGCACCTCCAAGTCTCGGAGCTGTAAGTCTTCTTCCCCTGTCTGATCTCTCTTGTTGGCTTTTGTTTGTATTTTATTAGAGCAATTTATCATCGCTCCCTGCACACTATCTTCCTCAATACAAATTGTTTTCACTGCATGCCATTATAATTCCCGTCTTTGTTGTACAGAACCTCTAATTTGTCTCAGCACATGTAAAAGACTGAACCTATAGGCAGTATAGTGGCACTGTGATCTTATAAGTCATTTGTTGACTTAATTAAGGCGCACAAAGGGAATGTAATGGTCTGGTAGGAGGAGGGAGTCTAACCCCATTTTCTTGTTTGTTATGAATATTTTAGTGATTGTTGTGTTTATGAAATGAGTTTGCTCTTTCACCACCAGGGAGAACATTGCGATGTCGACCCGCTTGTAATTTACACATCATTACGCCTGTCAGCACTGTCCATCATTTGAACCTTCACTATGCTTTGAGCGCTGCTTCCAGTGCCTCCTGGTACATAAAGCTGAGGTATAGCAGGATGTGATATGAAACTATTTCAAGCAGGCCTCCTTATTGTGCTATTTTCAGAGGTAGAAGCAGGGCAGGTCCTCTGAGAGCACGGCACAATGCTGATCTGGGGTAGTCCTGCTGCTGTACACTCCAGGCAGCAGGGCAGAGGGATAGCCCTGCTTACATTGACAGTATACGTTTGCATTTTTGGCATTTAGCTTATGCTGTCATCCTGAGGGAAACTTACCCCTCGCACAGGCAGGACCTGCCGATATTACAGAACACTCATTCTTATCCATCTTCTTGTGTAGGATGCAATTCGCAGCGGACCCCATACTAGTGCTACACAAGTGTCATCTCACTATGGGCCCTCATCAGAGGCAGATGGGTCTCTGAATCCCTCATTGTGCCTGTTATTGAGTTGTGAATTTCATTCTTCACTGGATTGTAGAAGTTCTGTACTCTTGTTGTCTTACCAGCTGTCCAATTCTGCTATTGTAGAAGTGAGTTTGGCCTTTAGCTTCTCCCACTGCTGCTGCTCCTGCAGTGTCTAAGATTTGTATCCTGTGCTTCTATATGTATGGCATATTATGTAATACACTGTATTTGTGGTGGAAAAGATCTTGTACTTCACAATAACACATCAGTATCACACTGTAAAAATGCTCCATTACAAGTAAAATGAATCTTTCTGAATCCTACTTCCTGAATTCTACGTAGGTATAGATTTCAGGGGGGGGGCAGGGGTCACATCCCTCTTAATATTTATAACATGTGCATTTGCCCTGAACCCCCCTACAATAAATTAATGTGTTGAAATGAAACCTACAGCCAAGCATGAGCACACTGCTCTTCGCCAAAGTTGCAACAGATTTATTTATCTCACATAAGAGATTTCAGTATTTCTGTTTTCCTCTGTGCTCAACTTACTGATTAGAAGTGGGCGGGGTCCAGTTAGAAAAAAGTCATGTCACCTACTTCCTTGCACCAATCAGGATTTAGCAGCACTTGAATCAGAATCTGATGGTAGGTTGTTTGTTTTACTGCCTATCAAATCTAATCCTGATGGAGCAGATTTTGTTCAGGGTAATATAAATAATAACATTTTTTATTGGATTATCTATCAGTGGGAAACTGCACCCATTTTCAAAATTCATACATCTTATGCCTATGATCTAAGATGGTCCATAAATATTAGCAAACATGCACAACTCTCTCCCAAGGCCAAAAACCAGGGTGTTGAAACGGAAATTTGTGATGTCATAGTGTTTGAAGTCTGGATGACAGTGCATTGGGAAAGATGTTATAGATGACACTGAGAGCACCCAGGAGAATGTTCTGAGTATATGGTGACATTTTCTGTTTTAGAACGAGCTCATTTGGGCATTAAAAAAAAAAAAATAAATAAAAAATTCTGTAACAAAATCAGGCTTCCATTCATTGTATATGCAGCAGCTCCAGTTTTTATACATCACAACTTTGAGATTTACTTCCCTGGTCTCTGGCTTCGAGAGAGAGTAGCTCATGTTCACAAATATTGATTGACCTTTCCAAGGCCATGGAAACAACAACATATTGATGATGAATTGATGAACATGATGAATTCATAATTTAGGTGGTGTTCCTCTTTGATGTGTAGGCCGTATATTGATGTTGTAGCTGGTGAAGTTGGAGTATTTTCATTCAGTTTTTATACAGTTGAGTAGTTTGATTTATAATGATGTATCCTATTTTACATGCCCATCATATGTTTCAGTTACACTTTCACCACTGAATATATCATATAAAGCAGCTTTAACTTCATACTTTTATACAAGAAAAACAAGATTGGGGCTGTTTTGCCCACAGGAACACTGAGGAGTACAGTAGTAGAGTTCAGCAGTTAAATGACCTTCTATTCCTCGACAGACATCACATGCAACAAACTAAAATAACTAGCGAAGATCTGTCCTTAACCGAATCACTGCCACAGCTCAAAGAGCACAACTTGCTCTGATGTGCATTCCCATTTCTTCTTAAGCAACCGTTTTAGATGGGTACAAATGGTGCCCTTGTTGTTCTACATAAAAATCAGGGCCGGGATGATGCCCGTGTTTCCCCAGTGAATGCTGATGAGGAGTGAGGGTTTATGTCTATTCCATTTGGTATGTTTGGTTAAGAGGTGTCAGTTGGAGTGGCGTGGCGGCACAGACGAGGGCCGAGGCGTTGTGCAAGAGGGAAGCCATGTGGAATCAGGCCTCGCTAAAAGGAAATGAGTCACTCTATCATGGGCAGAGTCTGCGACGTGGCCCTGACATCATTACTCTCTTCACTGTGTCTATTTGCTCACCCAAACCATATTAGCTTGGTGAGTGCCAATCATTCAATCGTGCCAAATGAAGCGCGCTCACCGGGCGACTATTGCCTTTAATTATTAGAATAATACACAATGCGGTATCAATCATAAGTGCCCACCCATGCTGCTGAACCGCACTGATATTATGTAAATAGAGGAAGATCAAACCAGCTGAAATAATTTCCGTTTTATGTGACGAAAGGAGAGCATGGCCCTTTGCCATGACGCTGTCGCTACACCGTGTTATCTCAGTTACTCTAGGCACTGTTATTGTAATTGTATTTCATGTTTTTAACAATGAAAGAGTACCAATTTCAAAGCTGCAACACGGTGACAGTGACCTGCAATGAATAGGAAATGCAGGAGTCATTTTTTTAAGCCTGGAATTACACTGTAAGCCCTTCAAACGCATTAAAATACCAACGTTTGTATGGATTTGTTAATGATATATTTTATAAAGGTCCATTGTTTTATTGCTCTGCTACTCTTGCTTTCACAACTTGTTGTGAAAAATGTGAAAGAAAAGAAATAGAAACAAGTGAGGAAATAGAGTGGACACTATTAAGAAAAGAGGTCATTTGTATATATCAAACATGCTGATCAAAAAGGTAATAAATAAATAAAAATACCGATGCCCAAATCATCCTGAAACAATGTGTTCTTTCATCAAGGACTTGTAATTGGCCGAGCGTGGAATTAAACGCTTTTAAGTGTTACTTCACGCATAATCAATTTGGTGTAAAACATGCCTTACCCAATAAAAAGAGGCGTGTAACCGTTAAAGAATCGTTAATTCAGCTACCGTAACATGAAGTCAAGACTTCTTTGTTAACCTCAAACAGCCACTGAGTGTGTAGTCCAGTGCTGACCCACTATGTGGTCCAGGGGCGTAAGCATGCTTTCGACATTTGGGGGGACTCATATGAAGTGTGAGGTTGTGGGGGTCCTTCCCAAGGAAACTTGAGCATCGGACACTTAATGTCCTGCTTTCTGGTAAATGTATGCACCAGTTTGTGGAATTATCTTTAGTTTTGTCAAAACAGAAGTCCTCTGCTATTTCAGCGGAATAAATGCATATGTTCTAAATATTAGGGAGACGTGTCCCTTGTGTCTCCTCAAAAAAACTCTACAGCTATGATGTGAAACAGCTCCTCAAAACCATAGAAAGCTACACCGGATTCCACAATTAAAACCAGCCTTGGGAAGAGAGGAAAAGAGGGAGAAGCACTTACCATCAGTCAATGTACATTAAGTCAGTTTTTCCCTTATCAGGCACTCCCTATCAAACCTTGTGAGGTGTAACAGAAAAACAGTTGCTTTGTTTCGCAGGTTGGTTGCACAGATATTTCACACTCCCTGCAATATCTTAATATCAGTGACAATGACAATACTATCAGTGAAATCTCAATAATCTCAAGTCTTTTGTGACTCTTGTGAAAAGGCTCCAACATCACATTGAAGCTCTACAATAGACCTCTGCTGTGTGCTGCCTCTGGATGAGACACAGATAATCGGCTCTGCCTCTTTGTTTGTGTGCCCTTTAGCCAAAGGACCAGAGCTACTGCAGTGTGGTGCACTGGCCCAGCCAATCATAAGCCAGAGTACAGCAGCAGGGGGAACGGGGCGACTAAAATGCTAAATCTGCCGCTGTGGCATCCAGGGTGATATTATTGGAGATTATTTGAAGCTGAGTTAACGGCAGTCACCGATACCAGCATCTTTGAGGAAGCTCATTCTGTCTGGTCCACAAAAAGAAGAAAATATTCCCCGTCTTTAGCAACTGAAGCGATCTGCCTGAGGCAATGTGCATCCCGAATCCCTTTATTCTGTTAGCACTCCTTTAATCCCAGCTCTCTGGGAAGCAGGGGCCGACGCAAAGTCAAACATTTACGCCTCTCAGAGCAAAATGAATTTTTCTTTGAATATGGATGAAATGTGAATAGATCAAACCTGTAATCTTCTGATATGACTGCCAGTGTATTAGGATGAATTAAACATTACATTTCCAAGGGCTGCATGACAGGTAAATTACTAAATTTTAACCTTCATTTTATTGGGGTCCAATTGCACTCAGGGCAAAATCTTGCTGAAATTACATGACATTTATACAGACTCTTCAAAAACAGCAAAGAGTGACTTGCAAGAGGGAAAGTGAGTATTAAAATGTTAAATGTAGTAGAAGAGCCTAGATTGGG